ATTTTATGGAAAAGTTATCCCCCTATACCGCTGGATCCCAGGAGATCTCCACACCTTATGGAAACAAGTCTGGACCCCCTCCTGCCCACTCCAGATCGAGAAGTTCTTGATTTTGGATGTGAGGTGCCTGGGAATTTTCATTTGGGCATCTCTTAAAGGTGGTAACTGGTAGATTCTATTTTTCACTTTGCATTCTGGTTCTAAGAGATCTAGAAAAATTTTTTTTTTCATGATTTCTTGAAATATGATGTCTAAACTTTCTTTTCTTTCTGGTCATGATGTTTCAATGACCTCTTCTTGGTCTATTTTCCAGGTCAGTTTTTTTAGATACCTTACATCTTCTATTTTCATTCCTTTGATTTTGTCCACATTGGATCTGTGACCCATCTTGGTTGTATAAGCAACAGAACTGCCAGTTGGAACATCTTCCTGCTTCCTCCATAGCATCAGGCCCTCCAAGCATCATCTTGAAAATTCTTCTTGCTCTTGTGCACAGCTCCAGATCCCAATTCCGTGCTGGAATGCTCCATGAGGTACCCTCTTAGATACGGAACCAGTCCCATGTCTATAGATTTCTATCTTCTTAGGCTCACTTGGGCTGGAAAAATGACTTAAGGGTGATTTTTTTCCTTGGATTGCTCAATCAGTACTCAGTCTGCTATGTTTTCTAGGTCTTTCTAGAATAGTTGTGGAAGAAAGCTTGATTATACTACTTCCTCCCATTCTACCATCTTGGTTCATCTCCTTTCCTTGGAAGCTATACATAATGTTTGGCTGGTTTCTAATTTGTTTGTGGGAGAACAGGGATGCCTACTGTCTAGCTTAGATCTATAGTTCCATTGATAGGTTGAATGTTTTGTGTTGAGCACACACAAAAGGTAAAGTTCTAGAGGCATAGACTTGTCAAATCTCAGGGATAAAAGAGCTTCAAAGTCCAACTAATCCAACCTATACCAGATTGAAAATCCCTTCTCTGTTGCCAACAAATAGCTTTTTATCCTCCTCTTGAAGATCTCTTGTAAGGGGAAATCCTACTAGCTCTCAAGGCACCTTATTCCACTTTCAAATAGCTCTCATCCCTAGGGCTGTCTTCTTTACATCGAGTCTTAATTTACTGCTGCAACATCTTCCACCTATTGCCCCCAGTTTTGCCCTCTGACAAATTATAGGGATGAAAAGCTCATTTTTTGTTGTTGTTATTTATTCATTTTCAGTCCTGTCCAACTCTTCTTGACCCTGTTTGGGGTTTTCTTGGCAAAGGTATTAGAATGGTTTTCATTTCCTTCTCTAGCTCATTTTACATATGAGGAAACTGAGGGAAATAGAATTGAGTGACTTGCCTAGGGTCTCATAGCTAGTAAGTGTTTGAGGCCAGATTTGAACTCAGGAAGATGAGTCTTTCCGAATCCAGGCCCAGCATTCTATCCACATTATATCTATAGCTATATATCTAACTATATCTATATTTTTTAAAAAGTTCATAATCTATTCCAGATGTTGCAAAAATACAGATTTCTTAGCTGAAAAAACTAAGTTGAAGAAAAAATTAGATGACAGAACATAGATGTCATTGTGGTTTCATCTTTGGATAGCACAATATTCACTGCTTATTGGTGACCAGCCAACTTTTCAGTACAAATAAATAGATGGTTTTTGGTGTCTACCAGCAATGGGGCTCTTGGCTTTAAAACTGGGTGTGCCCCTTAGGCACATCAGCAATATGTCAATAAGCAAGCTTTAGTCTGCAACAGGGAAGACAGCCATCCCAATGGAAAACCCACTTGTTTTTCTCATCTAATAGGCCCCCAAAGAAGGCAGGGGTGAGAGGTTAGATCCAGCTATCCAGTGGCTGCTCTTCTAAAGCTGTGGCTCAGGCTTGAGAAACCTCAGGAGTTGGGGTAACAATTTAACCTTCAGTGTTCTGATGAATGATAAAGGAGGATGCAAATGTAGGAAACAAACACACTCTAATGGGAAAAAAGCATTTGTGTCAATAATGTGCTTGTGTACATCAGTTTGGTACACCAGTTCCTAAGTAAGTTCTGTGACTAATAACCAACTGGTTGGATGGTTTCAATGCATTAATGGTCTCTCTAGGACAACTCCCACAGCTCAACAGTCATCCAACAGCCATAGCAACTGGAAGGGGGAAGATTTTGTATCTCCTAAGTAATTACAGAAATTATCCTAAGGCTCAGTGCTCTCCAGGTGTCATGGGCCTAGCTTCCTTTCTCTGAGGCTCTGAGAACTAGCCAGGACCCAGCCACGATTTTCTCATTTGTATCTTAGACTGCACGAGAACAGGGGACATGGAGCCCATCCAAGCACATCGAGTGTTACTGGACAAACAAACCAAACAAATTAAAAGCAGAGAGGGATTGGTGGGTTCTTATGGTAATCCACATCTGTTAGTTTCACTTCCCAGACGTTTCACCCTGTTAGGGCTAATTCCACAACTCCTCAGAAAGATTGTGATGATTTTGGTTTAGAACTGAAAAAGAAAGTAAGGTTTGGGGTGGATTGGAATGAGGAGAGCGCCAACTTGCTTGGACTAAAATTAACCCACTGCTTGCTTATATGAAGGAATGACTATGCAAACATAGCTCTCAGATTTCTAGTATACAGAACCATCACCAAATAGGTTGCCTATGAAATTTAAGCCCCTTTGAAAGAGCAGTGATTACATCTGGAGTACTGGATCCAGTTCTGACAGTTATCTTTTAAGGATATTGATAAACTAGGTCATTTGATCAGGATAGTAAAAGCACTCAAGAATATGCTTTATGAAGATTCATTTAAGCAACTGAGGATATCATTTAGCTTGAAGGAGAATGCCAGGAGGAGAAGACAAGATAGTTATCTTCAAGTGTTTGCAGACCATCATGTGGCAGAGGGTTTAGACTTATTTTGGCTGGTCTTAAAGAGCTGAACAAAGAGCCACGGGTGGAACATGCAAAGAGGCAAAGTTAGGCTTGGTGTAAAGAAAAGCTTACTAATAACTAGAATCATCAAAAAGTGGAATAGGCTGTCTATTAATTAGTTTCCTTGGATGGGATGTCTTCCAGGGAAAACTAGATAATCACTGATTGAGTGTGAAGAAATGGTGACTGATCAGAAGAAGCCACTCTCTTTTGAAGGCGCAGATTCCACACTTGGGCAGCTCTAAACGATGGGAAGATTTTCCCGACATTGAGTTTAAATCTTTGTATGAAGCCTCCATTCTTTGCTATTAGTTCTGGCCACTGGGAACAACAAGAAAAAACCAGAATTCTTCTTCTACATGGGAGTCTCTTACCAACGTACAGACAGTGATCATGTTTCTCCTTAGTCGTCTTCTTCTTCTTCTTCTTCTTCTTCTTCTTCTTCTTCTTCTTCTTCTTCTTCTTCTTCTTCTTCTTTTAGGATAAATAATCCCATTTCATTTAGTCAACCTTTAAATGGCATAAATTTGGTTCTCTTCAGACCAAGGCTGTTTTCCCTACAGGGGCCCTCTGGAGTCAATGTCATAGCACAAATAATTAATGACAATCATTTAAGACCCAGTGGGATGGGAGGTCAATGCTACAGCGGGCCACAGAGGGAGATAGTTGTGGGAAGATAGAGCCTCATCGTATCCTCAAATAACATGTATGCAGCTGCCTGTTTTGAATATTTATTTATTTTTGAATATTTATAGGGCTAGGTTTGTCCTAGATGATAACGGAGCTTGAGGGGAGTAGGTCTCTAGAAACCTGCATTGGTGACAATGGCAAATATTTTGCCTGCAAAATCAGTCAATGGAGGTTGCAGTTACAGGTTTTATGAACTGCCTTAGTCCAAGTGATGTTTGTATTGCTTTGTCTGGCTCATTCCTGAGAGCATCATTGAAATGAGAGATAGCATTATTCAGAGTTGGCATTTCGAAAAGACTCTAGGAAAGTCGGATAAGATAGTGTGCTATGCTCCCTGACATTCCAACTCACAGAAACCCCCCTTTTCTGCCAGATTTGGCTACAAACCATCTCTGTTGCAGGGAATTAACTTTGGTTTTGGGACCCCAAAGGTCTACTTTTGTTGGCCCAGCTGGTACCCTGGGGAAGAGATAGGGAGGGTTGGATATTGGTTGGCAAGCCTGAAGTAAATGTCAGTAAAATGAGATTAATTCACATTTGCATAGCGCTTTTACCCTTGCATCTCCCTCACAACCAATCCCGTGGGTGAGGAAATGAAGCTTCAGTGATGACAAAGCTGCTTCAGAGTCACAAGGCTAATCAGTAGAAAAGCCTGGACTTCATCACCCACACATGATGCTGCCTGTGTAGAGGAGCTTCTCAATTTTGCAAGAGCTGGAAGTACTGTCCCTAGTTCTCCCATGGCTCCCCACCTCCAGAGCTGGACCTCCTATTGACACCTCAGTCCTCCCATCTGTGGGTCTCATCATGTCTGCTTTAGTTCCCTAATGCAGGGCATAAGGGACTAGCGAAAGAGTTAATTTTCTGTCTTCTCTAATTTTGGGGCTTTGGGAGGATGGGAGAAGGCTGAGGTACCTACAATGGAAAAGGCTATTCTTGGGTTTTATACCCACTTAGAATTAAAATTCAATCCTCTTTCCATCTCTTTCTTAGTCTATATAAGATACATACAGAATGTCCCCAAAGTCTTATTGCAATTTTAAGCTTTAATAGTATAAAACTACACACACACACACACACACACACACACACATATAATATGCATATGTGTATGTTGCACATACAGGAGCACTGTACCACCTATTACCAGAGTCTGCCAAGAAAAAAAAAGCCTAACAAATAATATACCCTCAAAACAAACCAACAAACAAACCAACAAAAAACCTTATGCACTCTGTCTCTGTATGGCTACTTTTCTTGACCCAGATGGTCTAAGAATGTGTCTAAGAGCCTTGAGGTGCTGGTGGGGAACGTGGAAAAGTCAGGAGCTCTTATCTTTCTGTCCGTATTTTCTCCCTATAACTGAAATTTTCTTATTGCATTTTGCAGTTTCCTGGAAGATGGCACGTGCTGCCTCATTCAATGTCTCACCTTGAAAAAGAAGAAACAATTTCTTTTGCTGAACTACAGGAGGGTCTAATGCAGCAATTTCACAATAAGGAGGTCCCAGAAATAATCAAAGGGCTCTTGAAAATATACAACCTAAGACTATCTCCTCTCCCTACTTCCAGCAGTCTTATTGGGTAGTTGAACTGCTAATTAACATCAGGCTAGCCAGTGATAATCTTAATTGGTTGTCATCCTGTCTCTCGTTGGTCTGATAGTGATTGAGAGGTCAACTAGTCAATGACAAAGGAGGTGTGAGAATGCTGAGGGTTTTCCTAATTCTTTATTACTAGTATTGTTCACATTTCTAGTATTATTCAACATAAGAAGATGGTCCTAGGCAACATTCTGAGGGTGTAAAATGTATGCTTTTTTCTCTGGAAATGGAACAGCCGTTGGTAATGAATTCTCAGCTTGCTACACTGTTTCTTCCTCAACTCTTTGCAAATACCCACAGGCTTAGGGATGGAAGGGAAATGCTTTAAGCTGGGTCCCCCAGTGACCAAGTATAGTTTGGAGCCTTACCTGTGATGTAGTCATTAATTCATTCACTCTTATAAGAAGGTCTCAAGGACACTAGTCACCCTCGGTTATTTATTGGGCACCCATAGGATGAAAGTCAAGGCATTATGGGATCTGCAGTGTGCCTTAGATTCGATTTTACAATTTCTACCCCTAGGGAACACAATCTCGTGGGAAGAAGAATGAGACATTTTAACAAATGTCATTACTCAAGACAGACATTGAGACTTAAGTAGGGAGAAAAGCCTAAGGTGGTAGGGAAAGGTGGTTCTGGATTAATCTTTGAAAACTTCTTGAAGAAGGGGGATTTTTTAACAAGGAGCAATTGCAAGGATACTTCTGTAGATCTTCATACCCCTGCATCACTAAAGTTTAAAGACAACACTATATTTCCCACTTCCCTGGATTCTATATTTTAATTAAGGTTTAGACAGTTCTATTGACTCTGATATCCCCTATTTAGCTATACCTTGTGAACTGTTCCTTGACAGGGGACTGAATGTTCAGTCCACAGGTCAATTCCAGTGTTCCCATTTCCAGAGTAAAGTTTCTAAGGAAATCTGGAACATGTAAGATAGAAATGTTACATGGAATCACTAGGAGAAGTAAATATAATCTATAATCTACATAATCCAGCCTTATCAATGGATATACCCCATTTACCAAGCTACAGTTAATCTTTTTTGAAGGGGAGCTGATCCATATCCAGTTCTAATAACATCCAAATTCTGCTATTCCAAGAAGCCACATTCCTCTAGGCTTTAGGGTTTACAAAGTGCTCCCCTCACAAAAACCTATGAGATAGGGAGTGGAAGTAGTAATATCCCCATTTTATGGAAGGGAAAACAGGCTCAGAGAGGTAAGATGACTCCACCCTCTGCCCTGGAAGATATCAGAGCTGAGATCTGAAGCTAGGCTTCCTAATTCCAAATTAAGCATGACTTTTTCCTACATCATTCTAGAAGGTTTCGGGTTTCCTCATGTTGAAGGGATATCTTCAACCAAACAGTGTTTTTGTGTTGGTGAAGGTAATGATTCTTTCTGCCTGATGATTCTTTTTTTTTCTCCTACATAATAGTGATTTCAGTATTTTCCGTGGTGTTGGACTTTCTTTGAGTCTTTATAGGAGCATTGAGTTCTGCCTTCATAAAGCAATTAAAATTAAATTATTAATAACAGCTATGAATTGGTGTCTGATTTACTTGGTCAATTCCCTATGTTTTAGGTAATCTCTTTGCTTTATTACTCTGAATTATTATTTTTTGGGGTATAAACTTTTTTTTTGCTTAATATTCAATTTTGATAATGAAACAATAGGTTCAACAAATATAAATGTTTCAACATACAAAGAACAAAAAAGAGGACTGTATGTGAAATTACAAACTTTTCTTAAGTAGTTTATTTTTTAAAAGTGTATAATAGTAAACATAATACATCAGTGATAAAGTTTCCTGTTCTAGACTTTTCTTCATGTATTTTTAAATGTTTTATTGATGCCTTTTTTTGTATTTCTATTGCTAATCCACTAATTTCTTTTTCCTGAAATAAAAGTACTCTTTTGTAACAAATAAGTATAAACAACCAAAACAAATCAACATATTGGCTATTTTTGAGAATGAATGCCTCCTTTTTTTTACCTCTAGTCCATTGGCCAGGAGGTGGGAGGCATGCTTTATTATCATTCTTCTGGAGATGTAATTGGTTACTGGGTTGATCATACTTCTTTCAAAGTTTTTCCCCTTATATATTATTGCACAAATTATTCTACCTCTTTCATTCACTTTACACCAGTGCATAATAATACAAATTGTGCCAGGTTTCTCTTTTTTCTAGGAGTGTGGCAAGGAGAAGTCATACAGGATTACAAATTGATGGGATGACAGAATCAAGTGAAACAACTTTAAAAGATAAACAAGACATGAACATGTTTGTGAGTATCTGAAAAGGAGTCATCAGATAAGTAGAAAGATTTAATATGGGAGGGAAAGATTGATGGTACAGTCCCTAGAGATGATAGAATGAAGGGTACAAGTAGATGGTTTGCCTTTGACAAGGAGAAGGCCCACCTCTTCCTCAAAGTGAGGAAAAGGAGAAGGCAAGTGAGAATGTTAGTGGAGTTTTGAGCTATGGGATAGAAATAAGCTAAGTCGTAAACAGATGACCTCAGTTTTCTCAGTAAAGTAAGATGCTGGGTGAATTGTTAAAAAGAGGACATTCAAGAACTTGAGAAAGAAGATTTAAATAACAATTGTGGGGAGCATAATAGAGAATGAGTAAAGGAAGAATAAAGAGGACTGCCTTGTAGCACAGAAGGTTGAGTTGAGATTAGACAAAAGATAATCTCTTCCTCATCTAGTATGGTTTTGGAATTTTCTCTGTGTTTAGTACCTTGGGAGGAGAAAGAAAAGTGGATGATGAGGATGATTCAGGATTGAGGGCATATTCAGTGGCAAGACAAAGGATTCAAGGATGGAAGATGGGTACATAGTTCAACAGTTCACCAGTTCCAATCCAATCGGATTGGAAAGGGAGAAAAGTAAGGTCAGAACAGAAGTGATACACTGAATGGAAGGGGAAAATCATAGATATAGAAGGCTAAGGGGCCTCAGAGGACATCTAGTCCAACCTTGTTGTTCTATAGATGAAGAAATTGAGGCCTGAAGAGGTTAGGTGACTTGTATAAGGCCACACAATTCATCACTCCAATTCTCAGATTTTAAATCCAGTAGTCTCTCTACACAAGGGTTTGGAATTACCCTGAATTATTGAGAATGGGTAAGAGCACTTTGCCTTCAAATTCTCTGTGTCATGAAAAAAAATTTAATTATGGTCCTCAGAGTTCATGAACAGTGTTATGACATATGTATATATACACACATGTATATGTACATATGTATGCACACATATATATTCATAAAGACCCCCTCATCCATGCATAGGATCACAGGATTCAGTATTAGAAGGGATCTCAGAGTTTCTTTGTTGTACTCTCTTTATTTTATTGATGAGGGAACAGAGGCTCAGTGCTATTTATTGGTAGATTTGTCTAGAACCCAGGTTTTTTGATTCAAGTCCAGTGTTTTATTTGCTTAGCCAAGTAGTGTTCTTTCTTTTCTCTATTTCACTTTTCTTTTAGGTTTATCGATAACCTTTACATATTAAGCCCCATCAGTTCCAAATATATCCCACCCCCTTCCTATCAAACCCTCCCTTTTAAGACAGAAAAACAAAGTCATTAAGCAAAAGTGACTAACAAAATGAGTATGCCTGGTAGTTTATGAAATATTCTATACCCATAGTCCCTCACCTCTCTATTGAGAGGAGGTAAGTAAGCATATTTCATCATCTCTTCTCTGGTACCAGGATAAGGCCTTTTGGTTTTTCTTTTAAGAACAAGGCTTAGAGGACCATTTTTGGCCATCTAGTGACTCCCTTAGAATTTTCTATTGATGTTGTGAGTATTTAAAAAATAATAATGTTTAGTCTTTCAATAAACTATCCTTGAAGTCAGCATAAACATGATTTCATTCAGTAAATATGAGCTGCGTTTTGGGATAGCTGTATGCTCCATGTACATTCTTCTCTTAGAGAAGAAAAAAAGGCCAGATTGTAAACCACAGGAAGCCCACAAATTGTCTTGTGCTGTCTGGTTTGGATTTGGGGTGTGGCTCCTCTTTCCCTGCCTGGGTCTCAGTTCCAGGCGTGAAGCAGGGGAGGCATGGCAAAAGCATCAGGAAATAGCAAAAGAGTCAGGAAATGTTGCTTTAATATGACAAGATCCAAGGAAAGGAAAGAGGGACTTGTAAACTTGAAAGTTAATGGTACCTTGCAAGGATTCCTGGTATTGAGCTCCAAGGGATCTTAGAAGTTGCCTAGTCCAACCCATTCATTTTACAAATGAGGAAACTGAGGTATAGGGAGATGAAGTTAACTTTTCCATGGTGACCTAGGGCAATTCTATGTCATTAAAGTTTCTTAAACTGAGTTTATTTCTATCTTCCACTAAGCTCATACTTTAATGCTTCATCATGGAGTGAATATGAGCCTGGATTCTTATAGCCTATTCTTGTGAGCCATGAACCTTGGTAGGTCCTACCAAGCTAGAAGGGCTTTGAGTATAGGCCCAGTAATAAGGCCCAGCATAAGGATGGAACATTACCTAGGTGATAATTTTTTTCACTTACTTTTTTCACTCAACCACTAAGACCAGGAAGGGGTCTCTATATTAGTGGAGGGAATACTCACATTAAAGAAATAAGATCTTGAAAGTACTAAAGCACCCAGAAACCTTTTCATTTTCCTAATTAAAATATGACAATAGGCTCCAAAATTAGGTGAAGAGAAATGAAGGAGATTTACAAGATCTATTATTAGTGAAAATGTTTGTAATATTAAAAGCATCTCCTGTTTGACTTAAAGCACTCCTTAGCAGGAATTATGTAACCCAACCACAAACAATCAGGCTGCTGATAACCTTGACATCTTCAAGGTCTAAATTCTTGTTTAAACTCACTGGGGGAAGGTGAGAAAAATGGCAAAAGGAAATGACCATTTTGGTAAAGGCCTTAGGAGCAATCCTTCTTGGGTTCAACCAATGAAAACAGAACAAAAACAAAACCTTCCCTGGATAGTTCCTTACTCAGGAAACCTCAGCACTAAAAAGATAATGGATATGAGATTGTTTCATAAACTGTAAAGCACATTAATCTCCAGCTTCCTGTAAAATTGAACAGTGAATGAGAACATTTTCAGGGCCTCTCACACAGATTGAGGGCTATTTGTACATTTATTAAAGCCTGTTTGATTAGGCCCTGCTTGATTACTCCAAAACATGAAAAAGAACACTAAAAAATCCCTAATGATTTTACGATGAGTACATGGTTCTTTTTTTTTCCTTTTTAGATTGTTTATACTATACAGAATATTCATGCAGAAAATGAGTGGCCAAGGGAAAATCAGCTATACTGACATTTCCTAAACAAGGTCCCATGGAACCTTCTTGTTCCAGATGCTACGCTAGGTGGGGTTTCTGTGATACTATAAATAGTCTATGCATCAAAAATAATAATAAGTGGATTGTATTCAGCATGACAATTTCTTTTGTTCTACGTTTCCCCTGATTCCCCTTTATCTCAGTGTAGCATGTATTTAGAACTGGAAGGAACCTTAGAGAATATTTAAGATTCTAAGCCTTTCATTTTAAAGATGAGAAGATTGAGGCTCAGAGAAACTTTCTTCATAAGGTTAGTAAGTAGTGGAGAGAGAGGACAAAGTAAGAAGGATTACATAATCATAGATCTAGAGGTGGAAGGTTCCTTATAAATCATCTAGTCCAAACTCCTCATTTTACAGGTGAGGATACTGAGGCCCATAGTGGAGAAATGTTACCCAAACGCTAGTAAGTGGGAGAGCTGGGATTCGAATTCAGGTCCTTGGCCTTTAGAAGCTTTTTAGATTTCAAATCCAATCCAGGGATCCTCTCAGGTAGGGTTTCATATTCCAGGTCCCAAGGTGTTCCAGAGCCAAATGAGTTTGAGAAATGCTGATCTAGAATCATAGCTAAACCAAAGGCTTCAATTCCTTCTATTACCTTGTCATCATTAATAAAATATTCCTGGGTATCTACTATGTGTTCAGCCTAGTGCCAAACACTGGTATGACTGTAAAGATGAGTAAACAATTATCCCCATCTTCATACATCTTACAATCTGGTTCAGGGGAGATTAGACATAGCTCCGTGGAAAAAAAAATCAAAATGAATTTGTAGTCAATATAAACTCTGAGGATTATTACCCTCATACCTATTTATACTGATGACTTGGGTTCCCCAGAGCAAGGTTATATCTCTCCTTCACTTTTATAGGTGTATCCCCAAGGAATTAGGATGATTCTCATCTAATGCTATTAGCTCAAGCTAACATTCTGATGTGTTCTACCCAATATTGATTGCCAGAGATTAGCACTCAGATATCACTTAAGCAATTAATATTGATTAGTTTTTACTATTTATTGAGAATATATTTATTGAGAAAATATAGCAAGAACAGAAGTACAAATATTTCCTCCTAGCACTCAGGGGCACATTATCCTTTACATATTGGCCCCCAGTTACCTGGGCTCAAGCATAAAGCAGTTTCTACATAGCA